ACTGGAACCTCAGCATAGTAGATCATAGTAGATCCACTGTCCATCACCTGCCTCTTAGTCTCACCTCCTTCCTTAACCACCTTAGATTCTAAGGCTCATTCCATTCCCTTTGAGTGAACTCTCAAGTCCATTAAACTCTCCTTCCATCCAGCTCGCACCCCATCCCTGATCAGATCCAACTTTTCATCTCCTCTGGCCTGTACTGAAGCAGCTAAATACAACTGGAGAAAAACACACCACCACTCTGTTGACCAGTCCCACTTTAAATTGACAATTAAAGGGGCGCCTGGGTGGCTCAGGTGGTTAAGCATCCGACCCTTGGTTTCAGCTCAGGTCATGATCTCAGGGTCCTGAGATTGAGCCCTGCATAGGGCTCCATGCTCAGCTCAGAGTCTGCTTGTCCCTCTCCTTCCCCTTCTGCCCCTCCCCCTACTCATGCGTGTGCACACATGCTCTCTCTCTCTCTCTCTAAAATAAAGAAATAAAATCTTTAAAAATAAATAAATAAATTGATAATTAAAAATCTCAAGTGGGTCCTCCCATGTCAGGGTCTCCTATTTTACCCCTGGTCTATTCTCTGTTCAAGCCTCCTGAGACAACTACTGCACGTGTTCTTTCCCCAATCTCCATCCTCCTTCCCCTTCTCCAACATTCCCCCCCTCCACCCACCTCATTCATTCATGAATAAGTGAGTAAATGAATGGAAGGGGCCTGTGCTCTGTGGGACCCCTTTAGGGGAAAAATGCTCTGTGTTGCCCAGCAGAAGAAAGGAAAACTGGAGACCATATCTACATTCTAAGCACATTCTCAGATTTTGCCTGCTAAAAGAGACCAATTACCCAAAGTTACTGTACAGCATTATTGATACCAAGAAAATAATTTCAACCACCTTCAGAGATAATACAAAAGAGAAAGTTATCTACTGATGACAAATGAGAAATCAACACAAACCTTTCGATTTCCGGTGCCATCAGGGCGCATCCTTGTTATTCCTCACCTGCCGTGGAAAACACAGTGACCAGAGCAAGTGTAAAAGACAGACTGGGGCTTTCCTTTGCCTCTCAGATAGCTTAGATAGGCTGACGAGGTGACAGGAGTCTAAGGTGGAGAGGAAAGGGTGCGGTGTCTCACTCCACAGGTCCTCAGTATAGACCAGCCCAGAGAGGAAAGTCAAATACTGAGAAAGAGGTCAAAGAGTGAACCAAACCCTTCAGAATGACTTGTACCTAAAGCAGAGATTCAGAATGAAGCGCTTGTAAATGTTAAGTGTTAGTGTTTTCCTAAGTATCACCTTTGGTATTTTTCAAAGGTGTTCCAAGCCAATGGAGAACCATCATTTAAATGCGGCTTTTAAGAAAGAGTTGCATTTTTTTTAATTTTTTTAAATTCTTATGTTAATCCCCATACATTACATCATTAGTTTTAGATGAAGTGTTCCATGATTCATTGTTTGTGCATAACACCCAGTGCTCCATGCAGAATGTGCCCTCCTCAATACCCACCACCAGGCTAACCCATCCTCCCACCCCCCTCCCCTCTAGAACCCTCAGTTTGTTTTTCAGAGTCCATCGTCTCTCATGGTTCGTCTACCCCTCCGATTTCCCCCGCTTCATTCTTCCCCTCCCACTACCTTCTTCTTCTTTTTTTTTTTCTTAACATATATTGCATTATTTGTTTCAGAGGTACAGATCTGAGATTCAACAGTCTTGCACAATTCACAGCGCTTACCAGAGCACATACCCTCCCCAGTGTCTATCACCCAGTCACCCCATCCCTCCCACCCCACCCCCCACTCCAGCAACCCTCAGTTTGTTTCCTGCAATTAAGAATTCCTCATATCAGTGAGATCATATGATACATGTCTTTCTCTGTTTGACTTATAAGAAAGAGTTGCATTTTTGATAAGATATGAAAAGCTCATGGTGGGGAGAGGAAGTCATTAAATTATCTGAGTTTTGAGACTTAACAGACTTTGGAGAGCAAGAATGGACCTCAGGGATTATCTCATTTCTCTTGTGTGTGCAACACAAGCCTCACCACTTGCTACTGTTAGGAAAACAAATGTGTTCATGATCAGGTAAGTTTGGGAAGCATGTCCCCTTTTGGAATTTTCAGCACATTAAAGGTTCTGAGAAGTCCTGCAATAAGGAGACCTGCCTTGACTTGTTAAATTATACATAGCATTTCTAAAACCTACCCGAAGAACATTTTCTACGCCTGCTCCCACCATCTTCTAACATCCAGCTGAACACTTCCAAGAAAACTGATCTGGCCCAGCCTCTTCATTCTATGTATGGGTTAAAAAACAGATTCCAAGAGAAGTGGATCTACCCCAGATCTCACAGCTATTGAGGGCTGTCATGAAACATTAAAGAGACAGCAAACTCACAGCATGTGTCATCACCCTTGGTTCTACCAGTTTGGAAGTGGCTTAGCTGGCATCTTAACTACACCAGGCATGTCACCTTAGGATACGTCCTCAGTCCTGACCAAGTTGTAAGTGTGATACTGACTTAAACAATCAACATACTCAGGCCTGGACAGCCGACTATTCCCAACAAACCCTTTTTCTCTTTAATTTTTATTCTGGAAACAACCACCTAAAATGAGACCAGAGTCTCCATCAGCAGATTTTAGAGAAGAGAAATGTGATATATGAACAAGTTCTGGGTCTGCCCAGATCTCAGAGGAAGGAAAAGGCCTAAGTGGGGTTAGAACATGGCGCTGGGGGCAGGGTGCTGAATCAAGACGCTTTGGCTATTTTCTCAGCTTGGCTTCATACCTTGGGACACGCAGCATCCCCAGCCCACTCTGGCACGCGCTCTCTCTCTCTCTTTCTCTTTTGACTCTTTTACCAAGAACTGCAAAGCAGTCAACTTGATTAGGAAACCCCAACCAATCCCAGTTTCAAATGGAAACCTTAAATAAAAGCAGCTGTGTGGGTTCAACATCCTGTAGCAGATGAGGTCTCCTGACACATGCTCAGTCTTAGAATGAAGTCCCGGACAAAGTCCCTCGCTTGGTGCTGGGATCTTGATGAAGCAGGATGATGAGGGGCACTTTCATTTTACCTGGAGAATCCCTTTGGAGGGTCAACCATTTTTACCCTTGGCACAGTATGATCATCTCAGTCAATACATTAATGTCCCTCTGTGAACCCATCAAGTCTTACTAACTTTCCCATTACAGCAGGGCAGATGGGCAGACCCACTTGTGGTCAACTGCTAACTCCTTCAGGATTTGACTTTTTCCCTGAGTCTTGGGGGGCCGGGGCTTGGCCACCTCCCAATTTGCAAAGCAGCACTTGGCTTTGAGTCTCTATTTCCAGGGCTTCTTCAGCTAGGGAGTGACTTTGTCTCCTCCTTCCCTCCGTGGACCACTGCATAATTCTGCTGAGAGAGAGATCAAAATATCCCCTGTGCATGGTCCAGAGCAGCTGTATTTCCATGCAGAATCCATGAACCTTACCTGGCCATCTGCTGGGGAAAACACTGGAAGGAAGGTGTTATGTAAATATGAGGGTAGCTGAGGCCGATGGAGGAGTTCTGTTCTCCTTGTCACTTTTAATAAATCGTGCAATCCCTCACTTGTGTCTCCTCTGCCTTCCCAGAGGCACCAGGCGAGCCTTTATGGAATAGAATAGGTGCAGCCGGATATATCCCACTCTCTGAGGACCCCTAGAAGCCTATCTATAAACACAAACAAGCAGCCCAGGCACCTCCAAAGCTCCTCCACAGCCCTGCGAAAGGCAGGAGCACAGACCACTTAGGGTGAAAATGAAGAAAAAACAAAAGAGTTGCTTTGACTTAACTAGATGTAAATTTTTTCTTCAATGAATGAGACCTCAGCTACTAGGTTCAAAGGAAATGATCGATATTTGTTTACTTCCCAAATGGGTAATGGGTTCCTACGTGAAAATGCCTAAGCATCAAAAACAAATTTCTCACTTATTTCTAGGCACTGTTTTTAATATGATTCATACATACATACATACATACATACATACATTTACTTACTTATTTATTTATTTATTTTACATCTTGTAAAACTCCACCAGAGACAAGTTGATTGCCTAGCCAGAACAATGCATTTCCGTCCATCACCACGTAATTAGTAATAATTTCCATATTTACTTGGCTCTCCTCACACATCTCTTTGCATTGGTGAGGGAAGGCAGGGAGAGAAGGTGACCCCCCCACCCTGCTTCGCAACCATTCCCAGTTAGCTGAGAGCATACCTTATTAAGATAATGGAACATAAATCAAAGTGAATTGGTCCACACACCATGCTGAGGGTGTGTGTTCTCTTGCACTGCTTGCAAGACAGCAAACAGGTCTGGAAATTAAATGTGAAAAACCAGGGAAGACCCGAAGCCCATCACAGGGAGGGAGAACAGGACCCTGACAGTCCAGCTAATGCCTATAATCACAGTGATAAAGGCTTGTAAATGGCTTCATTCCACGCTGTCACTCCCAGCCCCAGCTGCCCCCCTGCTCCTGCTACCTGCAATGACCTATGTCATGCTTGAGAAAACAGCTCCCACTGTGAGTTCTCTCTTACAGAGTGGCCAGATGGGGCGGTTTTGCTCCATTATTTGCGCCTGTAAAGGGAAAATGCCAACAGAAAGATTCATTACGGTCCAGCCCATCTCTGCAAAGCGTTTCTGATTTATTAGGGCATAAACTGCTGTACGGGCTATAATGAGACATAAATGTTCTGGAAGGCCTATGAACTCCAGGAGGAAACGCCTTGCCATCACACTTCTGTGCACCTAATTTATTAACAGCATGTGCCGGCACAGCCTGGAAAATCCTGCCAACTCCACAGTCTGTGGCAGGCACCTTTGGGGTGGGCAAGGCGAAATGGGGAAATGGGGAAATGTGTCCAGCTCAGAGAATTGACAGAGAACGTGTGGGCAAGCTGCATAAAATGGGGAAGGCTTGCGTTTTCTCCCCGACTCCTTGGCAGACATTTGGTCAAGCTTACCGTGTGAGAGTGCAAGGTTTCCCAACTGTGTGATGGGAAGATCAAACTGGACATTTTGTTATTTCAGTGTTTCCTTGGCCCTGCATGAACATAGGGGAAAGTATTTATGTTTACTTCAAAGGAGCCCCAGCCACTGTCTCAACTTCCTCTATCATGTGAAGGATACTGTCTCCAACGTGGTATGTTGGCCCCAGCTTACTACAGCACCCTTTGCGAGACAATTAGCATTTTTGCTCTCTAAACATCACCCTTTCCATTCTAAATTTAGAACAAAAATGAACAACAGACCAGCCCATTTTTATACTTCCTATGGTTTGCAACCAATTTTTGTTCTTAGATCATAATACGCATGTCTCTTTAATTCAATTTTGGTTGCATGTGCCAAACTTTATGAAAAGAATAAGAGTAGGTAGTGAGCTGCCAGGAAAATATATAACATCCTGACTTGAAATTAGGTATTAGGCATTGTATACTTCATGCACTAATGAAAGGAGATCATCTTTTGTCAATGAAACATTCATTTACAAAATACTTCTTGAACGTATACCATGTGTTGGAGATCTGAGAGAAACAGACGTGGCCCAACCCAGGACCGGCTACATGATTTGTGGGGCCTAATGCAAAATGAAACTGTAGGTCCCTTGTTCAAACAGTGTGAAGGATTGGGGCACCTGGGTGGCTCAGTCGTTAAGCGTCTGCCTTCAGCTCAAGTCATGATCCCGGGGTCCTGGAATCGAGCCCCGCATCGGGCTCCCTGCTCCATGGGAAGTCTGCTTCTCCCTCTCCCACTCTCCCTGCTTGTGTTCCCTCTCTCGCTGTGTCTCTCGCTGTCAGATAAAGAAGTAAAATCTTTAAAAAAAAAAAAAAAGTGTGAAGGATTTCAGGGCAGCAACAACAGAGCATCAAGATGAGCCCAGGGCCCTTCTTAATGCTCAGGAGCCCTGAGCGACGATGCTATAGTATGCCCAGGAAGACGGCCCTGACTCTACCATGCAGAGAATATAGCTTAATGAAGGAGCTAAATAATAAGAAATACCCCTGATGAGGATGTCAGAGGCAGACACTAGTGCTCAGAGGGAAAAGAATGCTATATCCCATGTGAAGGCGTGACAACAGAATGTGGCCCAGGCTGGGCCACAGGGGACAGGAGAGACAGGCCTGAGTGGAAATTTGAAAGGTGTGTGTGTGCTATTGAGTCAGAAACAGGAACAGGAGCATGGCAAGGGATGGAGCAGCATATGAAGATGTCCTTTGGGGGAGGCTGTGGTGCCTTGGTGCAGAAAAAGCCCAGGTTTAAGGTGAAGCCTGAGGCAGAGTAGATGCCAGACTTCTGCAGGGCCCTGCCAGCTAGTCTTGAAGGCACATTGGTGGTGGGCCCACAGTCGACTGGTTCGCTATCATTCGTATGGGCCCTCTTCCAGGGTCCTGTCCCCTGCATCAAGTGACTGAAGTGACAAACCAATTTACCAGTAGAGCAATCTGGGCAGGCTTGGTGATGATATTTACTCTTATAACCCCAGAAGGAACAGAATGATTTTGTTTTTAACTTAAAAGATGAAGAGTAGGGGGCGCCTGGGTGGCTCGGTTGGTTAAGCATCTGCCTCTGTTTTGTTTTTGTTTTTGTTAAGATTTTATTTAATTATTTGAGAGAGAATAAAAGAGCACAATCGAGGGGGAGTGGCAGAGGGACAAGCAGACTCCCTGCTCAGCAGGGAGACACGTAACTGACTGAACCACTCAGGCGCTCAAGCATCCGATTCTTGATTTTGGCTCAGATCATGATCTCAGGGTCATGGGATCCAGCCCCATGTTGGGCATCGTGCTTGGCGTGGAGTCAGCTTGCCCCTCTCTCTCTGCTCCTTCCCCAGAGCTCTCTTTCAAATCAATAAAATCTTTAAAAAAAAAAAAAAAAGAGGAAAAACTCCCCTTGTTGCAGAGCAAATGCCAAGAGTGAGCTCAGAGTGCATTTCTACACCAGAGGAATAAGCCCGTGTAAACAGTGACTGCGATTTTGTCACTGTTATTCAACACTGCAAAAGGCCAAGGATGCCTCCTTGAACAATGGCAGAGTCCTACCCACACATTAACTTCATCATCTTCCATTCCCAGAGCGTTGGGCCCATTGTCCCAAATGCACCCTGTTGGCCGATCCTGGCCTCTTGGACTCTGCCAGGCCGTTCACCCTTGATTAAATATTATTATGAGAAGGGAGAACAAAGGCTCGGGTCCTCTGCCTCTCAGCCACATAGTAATGACTCTGCATGGAAAAAGATTAGGTACTCCAGGCAAAATGTTTGATTGACCCACTTTTTTTATGAGACCTAATGTATTACCAATACATAAAGCATCCTCTCCCACACTCAGAGGATTTGCTTTTTTTTTTTTTTTAAAGATTTTATTTATTTGCGAGAGAGAGAATGAGAGACAGAGAGCATGAGAGGGAGGAGGGTCAGAGGGAGAAGCAGACTCTCCGCCGAGCAGGGAGCCCGATGCGGGACTCGATCCCGGGACTCCAGGATCATGACCTGAGCCGAAGGCAGTCGCTTAACCAACTGAGCCACCCAGGCGCCCAGGATTTGCTTTTTTTGAGGTCTACTGATGATATTTGTTCTTAAAATAAAGGTTGTCCTTAAACACTGTGTAATAGATAGTTATAAGAAATCAATAGCCCTTTGCATGTTTGAATAAGAAATTCTTTCTTCATGCCAAATCTGCTTTCTTTGCCACCTCAAGTTGGTTACAAAAGTCAAATTTAAAAATGCCCATTTTGACTCCTAATACATGGTCCAAATAGTTAGCACAATTTTTCAAAAACCCAGACTGTCTCTCCCTATAACTCAGCACAAAGTGGTCTGTTGGTAACAGGCAGTGCACCAGCTACCAGGGTTCAACTCCTTGGCTTGACTGAAAGTGAGGCTGCCGTCTCTGAAGGAATGGAGAGAAAATGGAAACCTGTTCATGGAATCAGTGCATGCCCACACATCCACGACAAATACCACCTGACCTATTACTGCTTGTTTCAGCCTCTGCCTTGGTGATGATGATTAATCATGGTTACTGATTATATATTCAATTAGCACAAAACAAAACTGCAGATGTCATACTTTAGTCTTAAAGACCAATTCCTATCTTTCACCACATCAAGTGAGGTTCTAGGGTTTCTGAGATTCTAGGATCCCAACGTTATATTTTTGAAAGAATAGTACAAGGAAAGGTCCTTTCGTGTGACTGTCTCATGAAGGGACTCAATGAAGGGATTTTTAAAACAATGTTCATGGAGCCATGATGCTATGCCAGCTGGAATAGAGATGAGTAACACAAGGGGACCTGATCTTTGGGAATTTAAGCCAGGGTGAGTTGCTTCTGCTAAAAACATGAAAGAAAGAATCCTTTGGGCAGCAGAGAGTTCGTGAATGGCTCTTTGGATAGGAGGAGAATCCAACCCTAGAGCCGAAGAACTGTCCACAGGTACTCCCACTGGAATTCAGCCACCAACCGCACGGGCAGGTTCTTGTAAGGAGTCCTCTGCCCCAGGTGCTAGGCTGGACGGAAGGCATTTGATGGCACAAAGTATTTCCAAGTGTGCCGGGGATAAAGCAAGCCTAGGTCGCCCTCACACTGCCAGGCAATTCCCCAGTCACCCTGCATCACGTGTCATAAAACAAGACATCTTTTGTCTTAGGAAAAGTTGGTTGAACATCTTTCCAGGCCTTTCTTTCTACATGTATTTCAAGGGGTATTTGGAAAGGAGGTGACTTCATGGCAAACAGCGAAAACACCTTTGGTGCCTATGCCCATCAGAAGAGATTCGTGACTGCTTAAATTGGGGAAGGAAAACCAGTGGGCATCCCTGCATTTTCTCTATGGCTGTGTCAACAATAGGATTGGGCAGGGCATCTTCATTATTAAATGTAAAAACTGAGGCAGAAACACTCCATAAATGTCACTCTGAATGGCTGCTTCTTGGCTTGGGTTTCATTCACTAATGTGATTTGGAACAGTCTACTTTCCAGTGAAATTTAAGCAGAGTTTTGTTCTAATTTTGGCTACGAATGACTTATTTATAGAGAACAAATTTTTATCTGATATTTTCTGCTATTGGAACTTAATACTCTCTCTTACCTGGTTTGTCTCAGAGACATTTCTTCTATTTCCCTCCCAAGTCAACTTTCCCCACACCTTTGTTGTTACCTTTCAGAGCTCTCTACTGAGCAATTAAAACAATTTTGAGCTCTCCTTTTCCAATAAGAAATTATTAGAAAAAAATGCCCTCTTTTTCTTCATAATTGTCTCTAACAATCAAGTTTGGAATAATATATGCAAAGGTAGATTTTTGTGCACTAGCTCTATTCCATGTATATCCCTTCCGGATTAAATATTCATCCATCTGTTCAAATACACATCTGCCCTCCCATTTCACCATCCACTTGCTTCTCCACCCACCCATCCACCCATGTATTTAACTTTTTCCCAAGTACTAAGGTTACAGATAATGCAGTTCAGAGTCAAAGAAGTCATTCCCTTTGGCCTTGTCATTATTCTCTTCCTATCTCTGGCAGTCTTTCTGGTATTATGAATCTTAGTGATGCATTTGGGGCTGGGGGGAATCTTTATGTTTGGGGATTAGGACAGCTACTTTATACATGGTCATTTACACAGTCTATGAAGCTAAGGAAAACTGATTTTCTTAGAAGGAATAAAGAAAGAAGTACATAACAAAATAACTTTGTATTGCATTTCCAAGTTCTGTGGCTGTAAATAAAGCTTTGCTCGTGGAGCTAGAAGGCAAACCCCAGAGGACTGACTCGGAGCTCAGTGCTAAGCAACAGACGGCTTGCCAGAGAGATGAATGCATTTCATTATCTTAAGCTGATTCCATAGGCATAATTAGAACTCCTTTGAGAAGTCAACTAATTATGTAATATCCAAAAAAATATGTGAGGATTTCATTTTGGCATTAAGCAGAATCTATCAAACTCTGTTTTAATTTATGATTTCCTATTAGAAGGGAACCAAACAGGACAAGTCATTTCTACAGCAATGGTTTCTGATTAGTACCACCGGATAACATAAAGGTAGA